AGTGGACTATTGCAAATCCTTTGTTCTGATTGGCTACGCTACTAGGGGACTATTATCAATAGTAATACTAAAACAATTAGATCTCTCGGCCTCTTGGACTACGAGCTGATAGGWGCCCATTCGGCCTTCGGCTTCTATAAGCTCGTAGTCCACTCGCCCTCGATTATTGTTAAATAATTGAATGCAAAAAAAAAAAACAGACTGAATGTATATACTGAGCTGATATATAGATTAATCCACAATTTTTTAGATTTTCCAGAGTATTTCTCTCCTCCCCCTTTAGGACTCCCCCTCTCACAGGGCCTCTTTTATTTTTCTGACACCCCCCTAAATTCCACCAAACCCCTCCCTGATAAAAATGAACGGTCCCTAATTTTATCTAACCTCATACATGTCGTTCTAGCTATAGTAAAGGATTTTAAATTAACGAACATTCACATGGTCTCACTGACTATTTAAGTACTACGATCAACTTATATACCTCGAGTAAATGACTCACACCAATCGACAATCTCTCGGTGCACCTTAAACCGGCAGTTCCTAGGTGGTTGTTTCATCTTCCAAAGTCTTCTAACAGCTCCGCTCTTTGCGTATATCTTTAGTTATTCTAGTTACTTGATGCCCCTTTCAGTCTTCGGTACGTTCGTCTTGTGTGTTTTAAATTCAGCTACCATTCTCTCACTAATATCTCAAAAGCTCATCAATTTACTTAAAAATGTCCATGCAACTAAAACAATCATTTGTTTTGCTATCGCTATATTATTCTTGTCACGCAGTAACGTGACAACCACCCCCATTAAGCATAAATTCTAAATTTAACACCTTTAATTACAAGCTTCATCTGCTTAGTAGGTCCTCTCTAACATTGCCCTTGCCTWTGATGGCACGAATTCTGAACCGGTATTGCTGTAGAAMCAACGCCCAACGCAAGACCTTTGCATTCGTCATCTTTGCTTTGTGTAAGTACGTGAGCGCCTCGTGGTCTGTCTCCAGAATGAATTCTCTACCGCAGAGAATATATACAATTGGCAGACAGTCTTTTTCCGTTGTTGCGTACGTCTTTTCTCTTTGTTGCAATTTTCTGCTAGCTCTAGCTTTTCTGCTATAGCATCGTATTCGTGTAGGAGTACGTCTCCAAGCCCGTCATCCGATGCGTCACTTCTCACTATAAATTCCTTTGTAAAGTGAGGGAGACGAAGAACTGGCGATGTTGCGTGTCGCTGCTTCACGGAATTCAGAGCTCTCTCACACGAATCTTCCCATACTACTTGGTTTGGCTTGCCGTTCTTTGTGAGGTCAGTCAGTGGTGCGGTAATTGCTGGAAATTATAGGATAATTTTGCGATAGCTAAACCTAACAGTGTTTTAACCTGTTTCTTAGTCTTCGGGGTGCTTATGGACAGTATCTTATTGACCTTACCTTGTTCTGGCGCTAATTTACCGTGTCCAATATTGTGTCCTAAGAATTCAAGTGTGCGACAGCCTATGAAGCACTTACTCGGCTTAGCAGTCATATTCGCTTTTTTCAATCGGTCAAACACGTTACGTAAYAGCCTTAGATGTTCAACCCAAGTCACACTGCAAATTAGGATATCGTCGATGTAATTCTATACTCTCGGGTCTGCGTCTCTGTGTCTTCGAGTAGGATCCTCATCATACGAGTGAAACTTGCATCAGAGTTCACCAGGCCAAAGGGCATCCTTTTACAATGAAATAGGCCAATCGGGGTTTGGAACGCGGTCATTCGCGTCGTACATACTTCCTCAGCAGAATTACATAGAAAATCTCTTTTACTGTATGAGCAATTTGTTAGCAAGATCCTCTCCCCTATTCGGAACTGTCGGTTTCTTGTCTTCTTGTMAAAATGTTTCTTGTAACGCTACGTATTTTTCTCAAGCTCTTTCCTTGCTCCTTTAAAATCGCARCTGSACCTCTTACCGTCCGCCCGCACAACAACTCAAATGGAGAGAATCCAAGGCTATCCTCCTCACGGTAAGCAAATATCACCGCAAGGAGGTATTTGGCTTTTCAGCACRCATCTTCCTAAGTATTGCTTTGAGCGTCCCGTTGAAACGTTCTRCCAGACCATTACATTGGGGGTGATAGGGCGTGGTCATTAACTGTTTCATAGACAACAATCTCGAAACTTCAGCCATTACACYAGACGTAAACTGTGTACCACTATCGGWGGTACYCCAATTCTTGAGAAAAACTCCACGAGCGTCTCCGCAAACCTTTGTCTCAGTTCAAGGTAGCGAGTAGTTCAAGTCAGTATATAAAGATTTCCCTTCTCTGTAACTAGATGAGTCGGTCCAACGRTGTCTGCTGCAGACCGTTGAAATGATACGTCTATCATTGACATCTTATCAAGTGTGACTTTCGCCGTTCYTTCTTAGGGAGTGATTTCTGTGACAGACATCACATGATCTACAGTATCTTCTCACATCTGCTTGAATACCTGGGCAATAAAAACTAGAAATGTTTTGGTCAACAKTCTTACACTCGAAGATAAAATCCATATCTCCACGCACCCATGTAATATCCTCCATAGCTCTGCCGTCTTGATAAGTGTTTCCTTGTCACTGACCTCGGTTTCATGCGAGTGGTGTGTGGATTTGTTTGTATCATTCAGGTAGATAGWTCCAGTATTAAACTAAGCTCCTCKYGGGGTCTGGAACTAGACTGAGCGCTAAAYTAAAACTCGTCCCATAATTAATAGATTAGAACCATGATACAAAAGTTCCAAATTTTTCATATACAAATATATTACGCTGCTCATAAATGAAGCGAGGCCTTGTTTTAGATAAACAAAGACTTCAAAAATCGAAAACTTATTACAAATAATACTAAAAAGTTCAAAAATGCCGTCGGCAGTCGAAAACATGTATATAACACGATATTTTCTATGCCTTCGTAGCCTAGARTGAAAACAAATGATCGAATATTTTCATTGGATGCTGTATTTTCTATTAATATTATTTCCTTCTTTTATTGCAGTAAGATCGCTAAACCTCCTCCACATATAGGAGGGCTCCATACATATGCTAAAAAAGTCATTGAAATACTTGAAGAAAAGGGAACAATCAGCATAAACGAGGTACTAATATCTATGTTTTGTCCCCTAATTAAAAAAAGATGGCAAAGGTGGTGCCTTCAAACTATAGCATGTAAGTTTAACATGTTATATTATAGCATTATACTCTTAAAGAAATATCATTGATTTAGTGCAGGTTTAAAAAAGAAAATGCGCACCGTTTTGAGTTCCATCAGTCCTCTAAAAAAGAATCCTCAGGCGCGTAGCGTCCTTTACGCATATACGCACATGCGTACTAGTGGCAAGGAATTTTTACAAAAAATACTAAAAAATTCACATAAAATTGATCCCTTTTATATGCCCTCGATGTCTCTCAAAACGCTAGAAATCGCATTTCTAAGAGTTATTATTTCAAAATTACCTGGCGGAGGTCCAGACTCCCTTAATTACTCCCGCCTTTGGCTGGCGTTAGACCACCCGATCTCAATCTCGTTCCAGAGCCCGCGTTCCTCTTGGCCTGATGGCGCGAGCAACCACGAACTCTGGCCTACTCCATATTTTTCATCAGATTTTCTGGTGTTCCGGTTAAATTGCGCATGCGTGTCAAAAAGAAAAATGGCGTAAAATTTGTTTTATAGTTCGCTAGACC